CGTACAAGATGCATTAAACATGTATGGTTCTCACCCTATAAGGGTAGCAAGTCAGCTTTTATAATAGTTAATCTGCCTGCTCAACACAGGGAAACTTGAGATTGTTTTCCCTTTTGCTGATCAGTGCATTTCCTACTCCTGGGGGAATTCTGTGCCAACAAATTAAAAATTCTGCACACGATATTTTAAAATTCTGCAAATTTTATTTGACAAAAACAGCACTACATAATCATGCCAGTTTCAATTTTGGTAATTTATTTCAAAATATAGCAAGTATATCTGTAACAATACAGACACAGAAAAATTCCCCCAGGAGTAGAGAGTTAAAGAAACCCTTATGACAACCCAGTTCCTGCTTCTCTGCTTCCCCACCCCCAGCCCAGACACTCACACCCCCTATCAGACAGCTGTGGGTCTCCCCCCCCCCCCCGGCACAGACACTAACAGACCCTACCTCCTAGAGCCCAGGGATCCAGAGGGAGAAACAGCCCAATGCTGGGTCCCAGGCTTGCACAGAGTTTCCTGCGCACCGCCACCTCCATCCTATAGGGTATGCTGGGAACTGCAACTGCTGGGAACCCTCCAGTTCCCTCCCCCTCCTGCTGGCCTTGTCTTCTATTTGCGAGCTGGGCTCTGACAGGTCCAACAGCCCCTAGTGTCAGTCAACATCTTTGCAGCCCATTTCTGTGGGAGGGGAAAAGGAAACTGCACGCACAACATTAATTTCTCCAAAATTCTGCATTGTGCAGTGATTCAGAATTCCCCCACAGCAAAGGATAGAAATGCTGGAGGCTCAAAGAGGTTCAGCCAATGCATTTACAACTATTTTACCCCCATGGAGGTGCAGACAGCCTCAGCACAGAATCAGGACCAGAAGAAGCATGAAAAGAGCAGAGTGTACTCCAGTTCCAAGATCAGAATATTGGTCAAAAAGCAGCTTCATGGTTCAGAAGGTATGTCTACACTGGGAAAACTTGGAAGTATATTTCTGCATTCGTCCAGATCCCCCACCAGCAAGAGTGGAAGTGCTAATGTACAGCAGGAACAGGCATTTAACAACCGGTTTAATCTAATTCTGTAAAAAGTGCTAGGAAACACTCCCATTTGCCGGGGAAATTTTAGTAGCCTTTGAGGAGAGGATTTGTCAAACCCTGCCCAGAGCCATCAGTCTTAACTAGAAAGTTAGATTCTTTCATAATCTACTTTTAACAAAATTGTTTGCACCAGCCAGTTGTGGCCTTCTGTTCTTCTCCAAGATGTTTAGCTGCAGCTTGTCCTGTCCATTCTTGCCTCCAACCACAATGGGGATTATTTTAAGGTGAGCGAAGAGATCTGTTCTTCCACACCGACAGACTCATTCAGAAAAACCTTATAATTTGCTAAGCCTGAATGAACACTTGGATGCTAACTCAGACTAAGCTATTATGTGTTGAAGTGGTGCTGTAAATCACTGGAAGATTATTACTGATGATGAATTGATATTTCATACTGCCCAAACCTTACCCCATCCATCCAGGAACTAGTAAGAAACTGCAACAATGTACATGTTAACACAAGACATAAATTTTTTAAACTATTCTTATACCGGGGGGGGGGGAGGGGGAAGAGAAAAGAGAGGTCTTTTCACATGTTCTCCACTTAAGGTGACTGCTACGAGTTCATATGTTAATCAATTTGGCAGAGAATGCTAAAGCCCTCCCTCATGTAAAGTACCAATATCAATCTTCTCCAAATTCCTCAACTGCTGTCAAACTGGATGCTATGGACAAGGTAACCCATTACCTTTGCTGCTTCAACCAGTTTGTTGCACGCTCCACATCGGTACAAGTTATCATTTTCAAAATATTCCTCTTCCACATACATGTTCCACAGGGCCTCCTCCAAGCCAGATACATCCTTGACTGCCACCGTTAGATCTAAAAAATCCTCCTATACAACAGTACAGTAGAGAACAAAAGCCATTACGTTGTGTAAACGAGGCCAGATTTTGATATTTGGTATACTACAGCACATTTGCATGCAGACACAATAGCAGATTTGTTAAATATAAAGAAACACACTAATGTAAGTCATGCGTCTGGATTAAAGAAATCTCTCATCACTATTTCAGCAATACTAGTATTTGTAGGATTTAAAGAAAAAAAACTGTTTAATTCCTCTGTCATAATTTAGTTTTGTAAGAAGTCCTGGTTGTAAAAAACAGATTAAAAAAAGTAAAAATAGATGGTAAAACGAGAATGAAACAAATGGAGTTTCACTGTATTAACATCATTACTTACATCTTAATCATATCTACCATTGACGATACACAGTAACTCAGCTACAAATTGCCATAGTGTTACTGTTTTCCTCTGATGACTCATGCCCTCACTATAGCTTAGAAAATATCAGCCAAGACTCAGTATGAACAAATAAGCCTTGAATATTTTCCATGTGTTTAGAAGTCTGCAGAGTCCTAACCCATAAAAGCTGCATGGTTCCAATAAATTGATTATTAGCATGGTCAAAATATTTAATTAACTTGGAATATTTTGTGGGGTTAAGCAAGCATTTACATGTACAGAAAATTTAACATCTTCAATAAACCGTAACCTGCTTAACAAGTTGTCAACAATTTATGCTATTAAACACACACAAAGCCATCCTAGGAATTTACCTGTCTCTCACTGACATTCTTGCACTCCTTACAAACAATCTGGTTAACAACAGTCCCATGGTACAACCGATTAATAAGGTCATGGCCAGAAGTCCCCACAAGGGAAGTTTCCAAAGCACTGAACAGAATCCGATTTAACTCTTGTACATCATGTTGTCTCATCTCCTGCAAGACAACATAGGACACATTTTTTAAAAAAGGGTTTATTAGTGCAGGCTCCTGCTTTTCATATTATGATGACTAAAGCATTTTCTAAAAGCAATAATCAAAAGTTACATTAGAGACATAACAAAGGCCTTAAAAGGAAGCAAGATACAATGTGAGAGTTGCCTACTACCAAGAGAGGAATACTGTGCTAACTTAAAAGTTTGTTTTCCCCCCCCCACTTCTTTCCAGCCTTAATTTACTTCCACTATTTATGCTACAAGCATGCATAACGTAAACCAGGTTATACACTCTACTCCCACTGAACTCAGTGGGACTATTCCCTTTCATAAAGTAAGTGCCTAATTATTTGAAGGACTTGGAGCCTTAAGTCATCAGGCAAACAGTATTGCTGCAAAAAATGAAAAACTACAGAAATATTTTAAAAATATATTTTATATCTGTAGAAACCCATTTTATTGTTCTCCATAGGAAATAGTCAATATGTGCTTTCAGTGGGGATGCAGGCAAAAAAAGAATAATATTTGCCAACTTAAAAATATATTTCCCCAGCTTGAAAAATTCTAAACTTTCTCACGTCAAAATATTTCAAGTCTCCAAGAGTCATCCTCTCTCTCTTTTGGAAGAAACTCTTACAAGCTGTGTCCTTACAGATACCATACTGTACCTCATTGCTGTTCCATCCAAAGCTCTCAGTGAGGTCTGTTGTAGATGCAGCCTGCTGATCTAAGAGCAAAAGCTGAGCAAATAATCTTTGTAACTGTAATGGAATTATTCGAACCTAAATGTTTAAAAAAAAAAAAAAAGGTTTCAGGAAGCAACTTCAAAACCAGTACTTTAAATAAAATGAATTAGGATTTAGCACAGAAGTGAGAATAAGCCACCATCAACCCAGTAGCACTTGTGTTCTAATTATAACTTGGCCTACTTCACAATTCTATAAACATGGATACATCTTTCCAAAAATCTACATTCATCCTTAAGTATCTCTGAGAAATTTAAATTCATTATTTCATACACAGAAAGAAAAACAATTAACTTAAATTTAAGCTATCATAATATAAACAGTAACTTTCTTTTGTATTTTGCACATTTTAGTACCTAAAAAAAAACAAAAGAATATGGCCTTCGGAGATTTAATTAAATCATAGCTAGGACAGCTACCTATTGTAGCTTTGATTTACAGAGAAAACTCACTTCACCAACAACTTGCTTCTATCACTTTGAACAGAGAATACAGAAACAAAATCTGTGTTCCAATGCTAGTAAGCATTTTAAAAATAAAAATTAGGCACCATCCTGTAATGTCTTGTACATAGGTAGACCACTACATCTGCGAGGCTCCAGAAGGATGCAGCAGTCCCACAAACAAGAAGTCACAGAATTGGAGCCTTAATTAGTAATAAAGAAAATATGGAACAGTACTGTACAAGTTTTGGGCCTGCTCTTGCTCCGACTGAAGTTAGAAGGACTTTTACTATTGGATTCTATGGGAGTAGGATCAAGATCTATAATATTATTGCAAAATAACTGGCTCACCGGCTTTCACCAGTGCACAAAACAGAATGCATTGACAAACCAAATTCTTGGCTTCACATAAATTATTATATTTCCCAGTATGGTCAGAAATTGTATTCCCTCTTGATTCAAACCCTCATTTTTCTGAATCAACCTACAGCAGAGGATAATAAGAGTAGATTTTAACACCTTTACATCAGGTTTATTGATATCTTCCAGAGAACCAAGTTCTTCAGGGCCTAGGGAAAACAGTGTTTCTGTAATGGAAAAGGAAACATGACTTTAAAATAAAGAAGCTTTACATTCATATGTATCGTATTTTAGTTTATTTGTATGAAAAGTTATCAAAAACATCCCTGGAAATCCTTAAGTATCTTAAGAAGTTTATTCCTGAAAGACATTTGCACTTTTTTGTACCAATTTATTTTCACCCCATCCAAATTAAATACCAATATTAAGAAACATACAAATGGTTAGATGTCTTGAAGAATTGCTTCTTCATAAGTTAATGGTTATGTGAAAAGTGAATGAGAGCCAATGGCCAAAGTGAAACTGCATCCTATTTTAAATAAGAAGTTATAAGCACATTTGTGTCTCTATGATGTGAATTATACATAAAATATCTAGACAGGATACATGTCTTTTTGCAGAAGTGAGAGATATTAACTTTATGGACCACCTGCTCTTTGTTTTCATCTTGGCTGCTACAGCTTATCTGGAGTGAACAGTGCTTTTGAAATTGGCTTTCCATTAGTAATGTTTTATAAATAACAACTGTCAGCAGAATTTCTAGTAAAATATTGTTAGTATGACATGTTGCTGGTAGAGACAAAAGCAGGGACTTTTGCTCTTTTGGACATTCAGAGAGCTTTCTACAGTTTTGACTGGACTTTCTCTGTTCTGATTGGTTATTTACTTCAATCCTACCCTCCGTCCACAGTCTCTCCACCTCAGCTTTACTCCATACCTGCCCCTCTTCTTTCCTGCCCTTCCCTTTTCTTTTATTCAGTGTATCCCTTCTTAAATGAACCCCCAAGAAGGGGGGGAAACGTGGAACAGAGTGTTTGCTACCATCACATCTTTCACTCTGCTAGTGTGTTCTACTCCTCCCTCCACTCTGGGTCTGTCTGGTCTATTTAGCTTGACAGCTCTTTGGAGGGAAGGACTGTCTTCTTCTCTGTGTTTGTACAGTAGCCGGCACAATGGGGTTGGCCCTTAGGCACTACTGTAATAAACATGGTTAATTTTAAAGTTACTTTAGAAAGTTATATTTTAAGATACAGTACCTCTAAATTCTGGCGTGAAATGCAAAGTCTGGAGAAGGGAATTGAGGTAGCAGGTTCCGCCCTGATTTTTGATACCACTTAATTTGGTGAACTCCCTTGGAGCGGGAGGCTCGGTATCTTTGGACTTTGATTTCTTCCCTTTTCCACATTGATTATTTGACACAAAGGAAAAGTCCTCTTCAAATAAGTCTCCAAACATTGTGAAGCCACAGTATAGTCCTTCAGAGATCCAACCTAAATCACCACTTAGCACAAAAACTGCAATATTAATTGGTTATGCAGTACATGCTAATTGAATCTTGAGCATTGTATTTTCAAAAGTTCTCAGCCTGGGCCTAACTATGTCACCACTGATATCACTGATGCCTCCATTCTACCTAGTCATCTATTATAAATCACAAAAATAAACTTTTAGCTATAAAACAAGATAATCTTAAAGTTTTTATTGTTTTTGTACTTTTTAATGTCCACAGAGTTCGGTTCCCAGACCTTTTGTAATTTTATTCCAATCTTAGCAACCAAAGCCTTGTCTATACACAAACTTGCACCAAAATACCAGCTTTTATTTATACTGTTGCGGTTTAGTTGCAAGTCTGTACACGATACTTATTTTGGAATAAAAAACACCCTATTTTGATTTTGGTAAAAACAGGGCACGTCTTCCAAAACAAGAGGGTCCATGCACAGACTTGTAACCAAACAACAAACGGTATCAATCAAAACCAACGTAGTTAGTTGGATGCAAGAATGTTTGTGGTGCTTGAAAGTGTGTGTTTAGACAGCGCCAAGCCAATGTAATTAGGCTTGGCAGAATATGATTTTTTATTTTTGTTACAATTTCGACAGAGAACATCATTTTAAAGCCCCCTCCCCCATGTTTATCTATTTTGTGCTCGCGGTTGCACAAAATCATGGATTTTAACAAGCACTTTCCCTGGTTTTTCCGGGGGGAGGTGTTCATTCACAGTTGTAGGGCCGTAGGGGGAGGGAGGCCTGAAATCCCCCCCGCAGCCCAGCCACAATCCCTGCACCGTGCTGGGCAGGTAGGACGCAAACGCCCCGCTGAGCTGCAGCTTCCCCGCCGTGGCCCCGCCCGCGCGTTGGGGGGGGGGGTGTCTCCGCCCCTCCCCCACACGGCAGGGGGCTCCGACGGTGAGTCCCCATCCCCGCTCACCGCTCACTGCCGGGACGTGGAGCCACACTTGAGGTGACACCAGAACCGCCGCCAGCTCGCTGCCGCCATGGTTGTTTTGGCTTCGTTGTCAGCCGGCTCCCGCGGGGCCCGCTGGGAGTTGGAGTCTTTCCCTGGGGCCCTGGGCGCCCGCACCGCCGCCTCCCGCAGCCCGGACTACAACTCCCACAAGCCACCAGGCCACGCGCCGGCTAGAGTCAACGGCCACCAACCAACCCCTCGGCGTCCGCAAGGCAAACTGTGGGTGGCCCCACTTCACTTTCGGTAGCGGCATATGACCGGAAGCGGTGGGCGCAACGCCTTCTGGGAGGTGTAGTTGACTAGGAGTGGGTGCCCCAAGGCCCTCTGTAGTTGCCTGGGAGTAGTTACCGCATTACCTGCTGGGAGATGTAGTCTCTCTAGCGAAAGGTGGCTACTCTGTGAGAATTAATCTAATGGGGAATTTTTTCCAAAAATGTGGTACAAAGACTCATAAAATGCCACCCATCCCTTCTCAACACAGGCGATGATTTTTTAAATATATAAAAACGTCTGGAAAATACGGACGTATGATAACCCTACCCACTGCCCCCTCTCCTCTTGGTGTGTCAGCTCGCTCAGCCTGCGGATTGCAACCCCCCGTGCTGCTGCAACCCTACGCCCCATGGCTAGGAGCGGTGGTGTCTCTGCAGCCAGCTGCTGGTGCGGGGACCCGGGGCCGCTTCTCCCTCCTCTGAGCATCCCCCGCGGCTCTGGCAGAGCCTCAGTCTCCCCCCTCCGTCCCAGCCGTGCAAGGAGCCCCCCCGCCAGCAGTCCGTGCAGCCGGGGCTGCCTCCCCCCCCCGGCGGAGCCACTGCCCGGGGGCGGGTCCGGGCGCAGGGGAAAGTTTCTCGGCGCGCGGGGCGGCTCCCGGGAGACCGAACTCCTCCACCTGGGAAGGGCCCTTCCCAGC